CCAACAATACTGCTGCTTATGAGGTACCATTAAAATATATAGAATAGTTTTGTATACCAGTCATCGTCTAAATGATGATCCTGAGTCTTTACACAGATAAGGAGAAATGGAAAAAATCTAGCACTCTGACAACACCAGTTCTTAAAAGCATAACAAATTCCTCTACAAAGCTATACTGTTATACAAATAGCGCAAGTTCTTTTTTTACGTTATGATGATTTGTTTAATTTTTTTTTACAGCTTGCAGATCAGTCCCTATTTAAAATGGAAGCAGATGCATTTTAATTAAGCACCCTTTACATTATGGGGCATGAGGCCTGTCCTTTAGCATATAAATTGGACTTCTTTTTTCCTGGTTTTGAATATTAAACAATGGTGGGTTCACTTAACCATTGTATGCAGCTGTCAAATTTTACAATTTTTACAATAAAACAATTTTCAAAGTTGCAACTATTCATATTGAAATCCTCTTATTTCATCCATCTGCAGTTGATTTTGTGGTTTTAGTAAATCATTTCAACGTATGGTGGCTGCAAGCACTTTGCCTGATATCTAGACTATTTCCCCTCAAAATTTAATGCATGATGGTTGAAGACAAGTATCTGTACAGTATGGAGAGTACAAACAGCACACAGAAATAACAACACATATACTTCAAGACAGTTAAAGAGATTATTTCCTTATCATGACAGCAAAATGGCTTTATGCATTGTACATTCATTATAATTCAGGAAGTTCAGAATGTCATTTTTCCTCTCTCCAAAGCATACATATTTCACATTGATTTCTGGTTCCCATGACACAGCATTCATAATTTCAACACAGTGAAAAAAAATAAATCAATGCTATGCTTGTGAGATTGTATGATTTTCTGTGAACTGCCATATGTTGAGTACTACATGTGTATGGCTGAAGTAAGTCTTATCAGTCACCTACAGAGATGAGGGGTGCTTTGTATAAATCAAACATTATTCTTCAAAGTGCACTGTCCATAGATAATGAATTTTTTACCATTGTTTATATTGATCAGTTGGCCATTTCATTGTCTGACTACTAGTTTCCCAGATTGACAACTGTTAAATATTTGATATAACAAATAAAGTTGTCCTGTTACGTTGATTTAGCCATGTAGTAACAGAATTCTGCTCTACTATGGAGATCAAAGGGAACACAAGTGCAGATACTTCAGGAATACTTCAGAAAGCCATGTCATGAAGTCTCAAATAACCAAGACTCTCTTTTCAGTTCCACTTCTGCAGTTGCACTTCCTTCCAATCACCCATGTCTGTGAACAACAAGTTGATATTACACATCTAACATTTAGACAGGAATGAGGAGGGCATGAAAGATTACCATGAAATTCTCACCGTAAAGTCAATAGTGTAAGCCTTGAGCAAGGCCAGAGTTGAAGTGCTGGTGGTAGATTTATGCCTTCATACAGCTGAAATAATAGTTTTCTGAGGTTGAGAGAAATTATGGAACTTCATTAAAGCTGCCATCATGGACAAATTTTGCAACGAAGACTGCGCACTTGACGAATGATGCTGTGTGCCTAAGTGCACTGTCTGATTTAGAGTTCAAACCTTTTGTAGTACATTCCATGAAGATAAAATATTTAGTGCCACTATATTGTGGGCTCTATATTTTTGACAATATGTTTCATGCCTCATTTGCCACCAAAGTAATGAGATTTTAGTCAATGTTCAAAGACTGACTTCACATTTTTCATGGCAAAAACCCAAATGGGTTATTTTTCTACACTAGTGTACTGCTAGTTCAATGAAGCCCTGAAGTATATGTAGACCTTGAGGCAGTCAAAGTGTAAAACATTGACTTCACAACACAGAGACGACAAGAAGCAAAAACACTGATTAATGATTGTAGCTGTCCACTGGTTCCTAGAATATAGCCTGCCATTTACATTTTTTTCCAAATAGTAAGGTGCACTGATACAATACTAAACTTTTCAGAAAGTAAACAAATTCTCGCATATACAGATATAGAAATATAGAACATAGACCTCACTTGTTAAGCGTTAAATAAGATTTTTGTCCCAACTCTAGTTTTGCTTTCCCTAAGACACCTGAGATTACAATGGATTTTTGAAAATATGTATTGTGAAATAACCAACAAAGCATTACATGAAACATTGATGATCATTTCCCTCCTTTTTTCATAGAATAAATTATAGCTCAAACTGTTGTTTTACTGAGTATCGAAATCAATACAGTACGTACCTATATATTCTGTCAAAAGACAGAACAGTCTTTATTTTTAAAAACGGAAGATAGAGGGAATTTTCTGACACTTTTACAACACTTATTATGCAAACACTAGCATGGTCTTTTATCATGTAGACAAATAGTATTACCATGAAATTTTGAATATAAAGATAACAAGAAAGCAAACACAGAGGAAAAAAAAACCAGACTTAGAAGCCCTGGAATGGCCTTTAATTTATCAGGCTTGGCTTGCAGTCATTAAGAAGGAGTTTGCCCACACTGGAATCAACAGTGCCAACAGTTTAAATTGCTAGTTTTAAATCAGGTATTGAGTGAAATACTAACTGGACTACAAACATTGAAGAACAGGGTAAAAAAAAAAAACCCAGCCTGAACACCACTGTGCTGTAGCCAGCCTTGCCATTACTAAACAATCTAACTTAAAGCTATGCTTTAGCCACTTTGTGCTGTACATAGTCAGAAAAGAACTAGAGATGCAAGAGATTTATGAGTTGCTTTTAAAATACAGAAAAAATATGTTAAAATAATAACAATTGATTGCATGAGTTGCCTTTTGTATATTATGGACTATAAAATGATATTAGAAAAGAGTAAATGCCTGGTTTCAAAAGGAAGGTGTGACCACTGTGGAACGCTGACTCTGACACTTTAAGAAATGGCTACCAATCACCAATCATTGTTAAGAAAGGCTAAATACTGCAAGTTTAAATAGATTAGCAGCCATCAACTGTAAAGAACAGTGTATTTAAATTTAAGCAAAGTTTTAATGGAAGTTCTGATCTTTCTGCTTCCCCAAACCACATTTCAATGCCTAAACCTCAGGCATAGACATTTGATAATATTACACAACATTACTATAATAGGGCTTTTTAAAGTATGCAACACACAATATCTAAGCGTGATTTGTAATTGGAGAAACACAAACAAAACCATATGAAAAAATCTAAGAAACTTTTGATACTGTCTGTGTCTGTGTCAGAGCGGGCAAGCAACTGAATTTTGCTCCTCATCTGCAAGGGCTTTTGAGAGGGGACACCTTCCTGAATCTGCCATTTACAATGCAATTTCACTCCATTCCAGAACTGGGTATGGCAAACCCTCTCTATTAGAAGACATCTGCAGAGAGTAAAATCCTGACTTAATCTGAGGACACATCAAGATGACATTGATTTTGGAAGCTGAGGTCTTATTCCAGAGCACCTACCTTTTGCATAGCTGTGCAGGAGAAAAAAAGATATCGCTTTCTCATGACTATTCAGAATGTAAGGGTGCTCGTGTGAACTCCAGGACAAAACAAGAGGGAAAACTAGAATTAGCAACCAGATTAGCACCTGAGCTATAGCTGGATGTTGCAGAATTATATTTGTAGCATGACCTGTTCCAAGTTCTCTCTCCTTCCAATCATATCCACCCTTCCCCCATTCCCCCAACAGCAGCAGTGCACTGTGAGATGTATATAGGAATGGGATCTTAGAGTGGCTGATGATAACATAGAATAAGACTATGGAGCTGTCTAGCCTCTCCCAACCATTTTTGGCATAATTCGTGCCCATCTGTTCCCTTTCATGCTGCAGTCCAGAGGGAAGCAGATGGGACCTACTCTGCAGTCTTCTTCTGAAACTCATATTCATTATAACCTAATTTTTAAAATTACAGTCTTGCTGTCAGCAATGCTGCTCAACCAATTTTTTTCCTCTCTACAGAAGCAAAAATAACCTTTACAATAATAGGCTTTGTCCATAAAGGTCATAATGTTAAAGAGATACTGACAAGTGAACCATCTCCTCATCCCTGGAAGCAATCTTGTTTCCATTCCAAGCCTTGGACTGGATCTGGGCATGACTCCCTAACATGTGGTGTGGCTGATGCTCCTCTGACATTTTTCAGCGAAGGCAGAGGAGTGAATGGTTTTTCTACTGTGTCAGAAACTGCTGCTGCTTGTTTCACTAGTTGCCAGATTGCTAGCTCTTTTTCTTCCTGACGTTCTGCTCTGAGGGAAGCACTGTCTCAAACACTCTGCTATTTCATGATGACTTATTTTTAATAAGTCTTTAATAAGTTTTGCTTTTCCAACATCATTAAAAGACTATACAGAAAAATCACTGGATGGAGAAACACTTATGTTTTCTGCTGCCATTCTTCTTGTGTTTTTGAGTATGGGCTTATTCTTTAAATGAATTCCATTCCATTTAATGATAACTTTCTGCATGGACTCAGTGTATAATTCCCCCCCTCCACTTTGTACCCGAATTGAGCATACAGTGATGATCTCCTGACATTTCAATTAGCAGTTTTATACTCTTTATTTTTCAGATGGTTTCTTCTTTTTGGGGGCTTAGAAAGAAGATAATGTTATCAGCCATTCTTTTCCTCCTGTGTTTTTAAACAAGGAAATAATTAAATTAATATTAAAGCTTTTGCAAACAGAATAACAAAATACACAAATCTGATGACTGCCACTATTTATTAGAACATATCTGAAAATAAGTATCTATGAAATTTTTTACTTCTAGTATTTTCTTCTCATAAGCTGTGGGAATGTGCTAATTCAGGCATAAGCAATTGCCCATTAAAATGCATTTGATGGTTCTGTGCCAGATCAGTTCAGGTTCTATCCTTCTCCCATGGTACATACATCTCAAGGAGCAAATTCCACTTCTTATTGATCATTCCTATCCAGGTCAACATTAAATAAGTGAAAGTAAATCATAATCGAAGAGATACAAGACAGGCAAGGGTTCACCCTTCTCCTGTTACCTTGAGGGTGGAGCAGGCAACGTGTGGTTGTGAATGAATGGAATTTTACTTCTCTGTCCATCCGTGTCTGACAGGAGAACTGTAGAATATGAGAAAAAGTGCATAAATAGGTAACAATGATAAACATTAAGAAATCCAAGAAGACAAACACAAGTGCTGCTCATTAGCAAAGCTTCTATGACTTCCCTATGCAATGCCTCAATCTGACCTACAGCAATGAGGCATTTTTCACACTGCTGCATCTTAAGCAACAGCCCTGCTGATTAATTCCTTTGTGTTGTCCTGACATATTTTTCCTAGCTAGATATTTTTTAAGAGGGCAGAAAAAGAAAAATATTTAAGAAGTCCAGACTGACACAATCACAAAATCCTGTCCTTCCTGTCTTCACAATGGAATACATAAGAAGTTTACAAATAATAGGTCTTTCTCTCTGCATTTTTTTCCTATGAATTTGACCTCAGGTTCAGAACATGTCTTTATGCCTTCTGGTAACCTTGAAGAATATCTAGGAGTATGCAGAATCTTAAACATTTCTCATTCCCTCAAGTAAACTGGAAAACGTTACAGTCTGTTCCATATACATGAGTTACTGCTGTCTAGTGCTGATGAATCAGGCGTACCACATACCCGCTCTTGCCAAAAGACAAGAGTGGTTATCACTTCCTTTTCGCACTGCTCAAGTAAATTATTTATTACAAGTTCAATTGAACTTTAAAATACAAAAACATATTAGTTGCCTTAACTTTAGATTCTAATTTAATTGGGTTTTTTCCCTAAATGTTTAAGGTATTTAAAATGTAAGAAATCGAAAAGAGCATTGAAGAAGTATTTAAAAATAAAACAGTGATACAGCACAGGCTTTGTTGCTGGAGTGGAAAGATCCTAATTTACCACATATGATCATGCACCACATGCAATTAGAGCATAGCTTATACATATACATATTTTGTTTTATATGGTATATTTAGCTTCTCAAATAAATGAGAAAAGAGTGTTCAGAGCTCATGCAGAATTCTCCTGCCCAACTGCACTATCAATTCTCTCATCCTCTCTCTTTCACTTCAGGGTTATAAATCTTTGTTTCACTTTGAAGAAGTTGCATTAATATTTAATTGGAAAACTTCATAAAATGTTAGAAAAACATTACACCAAACACAGAGTAATGCCCGGGAGAGTAAACAGCAGGATTTGTGTTATGTAGTTTAGTCGTGCATTTGCATTTCATTCTAATATCACTGACCTACTAAAAAAACCTGCTCTCATTCTTACTGTGTATGGGAAATGTGTTTTTGTCTAAGGAAATTAAACCCATGAAAAAGGCCCATCTAACTTGCCATTTGCCTTGGCCGTTTTGGGATGGATGCTTAAAAGGTATGGACTTGTTTTCAAGGCATTAGAGAAATGCATAATTAAATAAGTAGCTCTTAGCAATTTGAGATACATTTCATTGTGCACAATTCTTCCTTTTGATTTAATACCATTTATTTTATGATGCCAGATGTACTATAATGCTGATATTAAAAGGCATTCAAGTACTGAAGGTGAAACCTAGATGAGTGAAATTATAAAAGATTGATAGATTTTGACACAGAAGTGTCACTGAAAAGAACAAATAAGGCAAAAGATTCATCTTGAGATGAGCAAATTTAAGGGCTATTCTTATGTAGCATCTAATATACTCAATTCATTAGTCTAAAATATTTACGTTACACAGGTTAAGAGTGAGAGGGAATATGTTGCACTTAAGATACTCTGGCTATGAGAACGACAGCTCTCCATTTCTGGATCCTCACTGTGGAAAAATATATTATGAGATGCCCCTACCATCTACCCTTAACTGCACACCCACAGTGAAGCTGAAAAATGCATTTCATATCAGTATCTTTTCAGTTCTAGAGCTTCTTATTAACCTTATTTATCTGTTAGCTGTCTATTAGGATTCAGGTTCTGAAACAGTATGTGTATGATGAACTAATTGAAGCCTATGGAATGTAGTATTCTAAGGTCCTACATCCTAGAACTGGGTGTCTTTTCACACACAAATGACATCATTTTAATATAAACTATTAATGCATTAAATTAAGTCATTGATAAACCCTGTATTCAGACTTTTGTTTTAGTTTAATGTATTTTTAATGCTGAGCAATATATTTTAAAATAACTATGCTAAAAACCTGCTTACATATCCAGCTGCTTGATTTTAATGCCAATATTAATGATTTCATAAAATACTGTATTAAAAGTCAAAACGTAAACATTTATACACAGAATGCACTTCTCAATGAAAATTTAGAACCACATTAAAATGGTGACAGTTTGTGTAACAATATGCTTAATAGTCAATCTTTAAAACCAAGCAAACACTTTCTCAGCTGAGACCATTTTCTCTTGATTTTACAATCACTCAGATGTGACTCCAGAAAGCGTATCTGTGTCTGTGTAGTTTGAGCTTTTTCAAACACAGAACTTTCACTGGTGTCTCAAGTGAGATACTGCTCCATATCCTTCTAAGTCCCAAATGAGTACTTGTTCCAGTTTTCAAAGTCCAAGCTGTATCTTTCCTTCTAAAAGAACTCTGTATTCGGGACAAGTACAGAATATGTAATAGATATGCTGTACAGATCCACTTTGGATTAGAAGGAAGATTTTATCTTTTATCTTAACATTTCTAATTCTCTGTAGAATAACAGAATATGACGCTTCATTTTTGCATGTACAAATTCCTCTCTCAGACCACAGCAGAATTAGAGAATAAACTCAGCCCCTACAATTCCCTTTGTCCACGTTTTCTGCAATACTGTCCAATATAAATTGCCTTGTAAAATTTTTTTTGGTGATCTTTTGTTTTAGAGTGCATTCCATTCTTGTCTAATTCTCTGTAGAATAACAGAATATGACGCTTCATTTTTGCATGTACAAATTCCTCTCTCAGACCACAGCAGAATTAGAGAATAAACTCAGCCCCTACAATTCCCTTTGTCCACGTTTTCTGCAATACTGTCCAATATAAATTGCCTTGTAAAATTTTTTTTGGTGATCTTTTGTTTTAGAGTGCATTCCATTCTTGTACTGAGGAAAGCCTTTAGATTTACTGAACAACAGCCAGTATTTTGAAACCCAGTAACAACAAATATACTTTACTATGAACTGAAATCAAGAATCTAAAATACTCCTGAAAATCAGGCATTCCTTCAAGTTGGAGCACCATGATTGAGGCATTAAAAAAAATAATCACTGCATTTTAAAGACTATGGCTGCATTCTCTCTTGGATTTTTAATTTCGCCAACTGTAATACAGAGGTTAGCAGAACACCTTTGAATTAAAGGTACTTTGAAAGAAAAAAGCTACATAAATTCAAAGGGTAGGCAAAACATTATTATTTTATAAGAGTATAATTTCTTGCTGAGTCTTTCTTTTTTCTCCTCTCTTTCTCCTTTATTGTGGTTTCTCTTTCCAATAGCTGGTTTTCCTATTCTTTTATTCATTTTTCTATTTTCTTCCCTTTGCAGCCATCAAAGATGTTGTGAAACAGTGTGACATTGCAAAATAAATGTAACTTGTATGATGGAGGAAAAAGGTTTCTGTGTTTAAAAAGCAGTAACTGATAGAAGACTGTCAGAAAGCAGAAAAAATCTGCTTTGTTCAGTTATTGTTTTTGAACTGCTCTAAATTTTGCTCCTTTGTCATGTAAGTTACATTAATGTACAAGTCACTTCTGAATTTGGCCTGTCATTTTTGTCCATGAGCTTTGTTTAAAGGTTCAAATAAATCAGATGGTGAACCTGTCCTCCTACCATTTCAAAGCTTTTTATGCTGTAATTCATGCTGCCTCACTGGCATACTCCAGAATTTTATGCCTGCTGTGACTATGATTCTATGCTGTAATGCATTATTAGCAGACTTCCCTGATACAGATTTTTTTTTCCAAATATTAGCATCTAGTACGGTATGCTCATCAGATCAAAGATTTCTGACCACAATGTTCATGTGTCCAGAGAATTCCATTTTCATGTTGAAAGAGGAAGAAGGATTCAGGTCTGCTTCAAATATGTCTCTACATGGTAACATTATTTATAAAGAAGACAGCTCTTCAGTCAGATCTTCCTAAGGTTCAGTGCATGTCCTAATTTGTAACATTTCTAGAGTACCACCATACATATTTTTTTTCTCTGTCACTTCTTTATCATACTTTGAAGTCAGAAAGTCTCAGTGACTAAAATCTCTCTCCTTTATTTTTTTGCTATCATGTTTCATACTTTTTTGCAGCTGCAATTTGCAATGAAGATGTCTGACTACTCAACTATTTCCACACTGCAGACAATTTTTGCACTATAAAGGGTGTGACCTATTTTAAAAATCTGCTCCCACAGTCTTCAATTTGCTTGCATATCTTAATTATTATCCTTGAATATTTATACCAATGTGCAGCTATTAATGAACTGATACAGTAACAATATACAAAACCTCATCACTGACAGGTGAACTGAACAGGGAAAGGACAGGTTTTACATTTTCCTTTAAAGTAGTTCTACTGTCATTCTTTTGGTCCACCCTGTCTACTGAAGTTCTTACCATACGCTCAATCAGATTCTTAGGGAAACAGACTTCTTCGTAAATGGAAGGAGTAGAAATATAGGTATGTGTATAACAAACACCAACCTGCCATCTCACTCACCTTTGTCATTTACTACACGCCATAAGTAATGCCAACAGCTATTAATCAACAAATTGAGTCAAAGGTAACTGAAATCAACAGAAATCTTGGATTTGACCCTGAATGTGGTAGAATTTATGTAAGGAAAAGTACACACATGGGTGCGAATATGTAAAGTAAAGTAAAGATGGTATGATTATACTGGGAGGCAAAAAATACCTATGGTCAGTCTTAAATTTACTTGCTTGTGAGCATGCTCTTCCAAAGTCTTAATGTTTTGAGCAGAGTATTATTCTGTAAAGTTTTAAAAATAATAGGACAAAGAAATTCCACCACATGGACAGCAACAAACTGCTTTATCCTACCCAAAAACACACATGCAAGAGACAGGTATACTTCGGGCATAATTCTCATCTAGACATAA